AATGGTGATGGTATTTTGATAGGGATTGCATTGACTCTGTAGGTCACTTTGGGTAGTATAGACATTTTAACAATGTTGATTCTGCCAACCCATGAGCATAGTATATTCTTCCATCTGTTTACGTCTTCTGCTATTACCTTCCTCAGTGTTTCATAGTTCTCACTGTAGAGGTCTTTTACCTCCCAGTTAAATATATTCCAACGCACTTTATTTTCTTTGTTGCTATTTTGAAGGGAATTGAGTCTTTGATTTGGTTCTCACTTTACTGTTGTTGGCGTGTATGAATGCCTCTGATTTCTGTGTATTGATTTTGTATCCTGAGACTTTACCAAATTTATTTATCAATTCAAAAGGAGTCTCTTGGTTGAAACCTTGGGGTTTTCTAGGTATAATATCATGTCATCAGCAAATAGTGAGAGTTTGATCTCTTCTGCTCCCATTTGGACACCCTTAATTCCACTCTCTTGTCTGATTGCTGTAGCGAGGACTTCCAGCACTATGTTGAACAGAAGTGGAGATAGTGGGCAACTTTGTCTTGTTCCAGTTCTAAGTGGGAATGCTTTCAATTTTTCCCCATTCAGTATGATATTGGCTGTGGGTTTGTCATATATGGCTTGTATCATTTTTAGGTAAGCCCCGTCTATGCCTATTTTGTTGAGCGTTCTTATCATAAAAGGGTGTTGAATTTTGTCAAATGCTTCCTCTGCATCTATTGAGAGGATTGTATGGGTCTTTGTTTTTGCTTCTCTTTATATGGTGAATTACATTTATAGTTTTGCATATGTTGAACCATCCCTGCATCCCTAGAGTGAAGTGCACCTGGTTGTGATGAATTATTTTCTTGACAAGCACCTGGATTCAATTGGCTAGGATTTTGTTGAGGATTTTTGCTTCTATACTCATAAGGGATATTTGTCTGTAGTTTTCTTTTTTTGTTGCATCCTTTCCTGGTTTTGGTATCAGGGTTATGTTCGCTTCATAAAATGTGTTGGGGAGGCTTCCATGCTTCTTGATGTTGTGGAATAATTTCTGCAGGATAGGCACCAGTTCTTCTTTGTAGGTGTGGTAAAATTCGGGTGTGAAGCCATCTGGTCCAGGCCTTTTCTTTTTAGGAAGGTTTTTTATTGCTGTTTCAATTTCAGTACTGGATATTGGTCTGTTCAGGAGTTCTGTTTCTTCCTGGTTGAGCCTAGGGAGGCTGTGTGTTTCTAAGAAATTGTCAATTTCCTCCACATTTTCCAGTTTATGTGCATAGAGGTTTTTGTAGTATTCATAAATTATATCTTGTATCTCCGTGGCATCAGTTGTAATTTCTCCTTTTTTGTTCCTGATGGAGCTTATTAGAGATTTTTCTTTTCTGCTTTTTGTTAGTCTAGCCAGTGGCGTGTCAATTTTGTTTAGTTTTTCAAAGAACCAACTTTTTGTTTTATTAATCTTCCATATAGTTTCCCTGTTGTCAATTTCATTTAGTTCTGATTTGATCTTAATGATTTCACTTCTTCTGCTGGGTTTGGGGTTGATCTGTTCTTCTCTTTCCAGCTCTTTGAGATGATTCGTTAGGTTGTCTATTTGTGATCTTTTCGACTTTTGGATATAGGCATTTATCAAAATAAACTTTCCTCTCAGGACTGCTTTAGTTGTGTCCCACAGGTTTTGGTAACTTGTGTCACCTTTGTCATTTAGTTCAAAGAATCTTTTGATTTTCCTCTTGATTTCCTCGTTTACGAAGTGATCATTCAGCAGAAAGTTGTTTAGTTTCCTTAACTTTGTGTAGAAATGAGAACTCCTGTTAGGATTGATTTCTACATTTATTCCATTGTGGTCTGAAAAGATACACGGTATAATTTCTATTTTTTTAAATTGTTTGAGACGTGCTTTGTGTCCTAGGATAAGGTCAATCTTAGAGAATGACCCGTGAGCTGATGAGAAGAACGTATATTCAGTGGTTTGGGGGTAGAATGTCCTGTAAATGTCAGTCAGGCCCATTTGTTCTAGAGTTCTGTTCAAGTCCATTATTTCTTTGTTGATTTTCTGTTTGGAGGATCTGTCCTGTGCTGTCAGTGGGGTGTTAAAGTCTCCGACTATTATGGTGTTGTTATTTATCCATTTGTTTAGATCAAGTAGAGTTTGATTTATGAATCTGGGTGTATCAAGGTTGGATACATATATATTTAGAATTCTTATGTCTTCTTGTTGAACTGTACCCTTCACCATTATATAGTGACCTTCTTTGTCTTTTATTACTTTTGTTGATTTAAAGACTAAGTTATCTGTAATCAGCACTGCCACACCAGCTTTCTTTTGGCTTCCATTTGCTTGAAATATTGTTCTCCACCCTTTTACCTTTAGTCTAATTGCATCCTTGCAGGTTAGATGTGTTTCCTGAAGGCAGCAGATACTTGGCTTGTGGTTTTTTATCCATTCGGCCAGCCTTTGTCTCTTGAGTGAGGAGTTCAAGCCATTCACATTTATTGAGATAACTGATAGGTGGGGCAGATTTCTGTTCATTATGTTGGGTTGAACTTTGTTGCTTTGTTTTCTCTCTTGAGCCATTTTGGTGTCTGGGCTTTGATCTTTAGCTTTGAGTAGATTTACATTGGTGAGTGTTTATTGTGCTGATCCGTGGGTAACACTGTTTTGAGTACTTCTTGAACGGCTGGTCTTGAATGGTGAATTCCCTCAGTCTTTGCTTATCTGAGAATGTCTTGATTTCTCCTTCATATACAAAACTTAGTTTTGTAGGGAATAAGATTCTAGTCTGGGCATTGTTCTGTTTGAGAAGAGTGAGAATGGGGCCCCAGTCTCTCCTTGCTTGTAAAGTCTCAGTAGAGAAGTCTGGTGTTATTCGGATTGGCTTTCCTTTGTATGTTACTTGCTTCTTTTGTCTTACAGCTCTTAGAAGGACCTCTTTAGTTGATATTTTGGTCAGTTTGATGACTGCATGTTTTGACGTCTTCCTGTTTGCATTGAATTTCCCAGGGGTCCTCTGAGCTTCTTGAACTTTTATATCGAGATTTTTAGCAAGGCCTGGGAAATTTTCCTCTATTATATCTTCAAATAGCTTGTCCAACCCTTGAGTGTTTTCTTCTTCCCATTCTGGTAACCCTATGACCCTCACATTAGGTTTCTTCACATAATCCCACATCTCTTTGTAGGCTTTGCTCTTTTCTCTTGTTTCTCTGCTCTATCTCTGTGACTGCTTTATTTAATTGGAAGGTGTTATCTTCAGTCTCTGAGATTCTTTCTTCTGTTTGATCTACCCTGTTCTTGAGGCTTTCCACTGTGTTTTGTAGTTCCCTGAATTGATTCTTAATTTCTAGGAGTTCGGTTAAACTTTTCCTCATTGTATGGATTTCTTTAGTGAATTTTTGTTCCAGGTCCTGGAGTCGTTTTGTGTTTTCTTTGTGTTGGTTATCCAGTTGTTCTTGTAGGTCGTTCAATTTTCTTATCATCCACTTTTGAAATTCCTCTTCTGTCATTTTGGTTGCCTGATTTTGGTTGGTGTCCATTTCTAAGGGGCTGGTGCTCCTCTTTGAGGGTGTGATTTCCGTTTGGTTCTTCATATTTCCGGAGTTCCTTCACTGATTTCTTCCCATCTGGATCAGTTGTTGCTTCTTGCCTTTAGGCTTTTATTTGGGTATTGACAAGCCTTGTTTAGTCTCTGAGCCGGTAGGTGATGTTTGTGGTTGAGATTCAACCACTCCCTGTATGATGAGTCAGTAGGTGCCGTGAAAAGGGTGTGCAGGATGTCCTCCCTGTCAGTAGGTGGCACTTGCTTGGAGGAACAGGATACACTGTTGTTTTTGTGTCCTGTTATCAGCTCTTGTTCTGCTAGAGATGCACTCTAGTTCCTCTGGTGGTCATTGGGGCCCTGGAACTTCCAGGTGTGTCCTATTCTCCCCCTCAGTGAGGGCTGGTCTGGGAGAGAGTCTGGGCAGAGCTGGGTTGGGTAAGCCTGCCCTCAGGCACCACCAATGCTGTTAGCATGCGTCAAAGTTCTGTTCTCTGCTTTCAGGAAAAGCTGTCAGGGCGGGGCTGGAATGGCCCCGCTCAGTCAGAAAGTCTAAGTGTGGGGGTGGGGCTGTCTGAGACCCGCAGTCTGGAGCAGGCCTGGCTTCTTTCCACCCTCCCCAACTCCGCAGCTACTCCTGGGCCTCTGCCAGCAGGCCAGACCACACACCACTAGGCCTTCCCTGCCTGTGATGCCGACCGGGAGGTTCCCTGCGCAGGAACGCCACCTGGGCTGGGCACACGGCCTCCCGTTGGGAGGAGGGTTGCCCTCTAGGACGCTGATCTGCCCCTGAGGGCACACACACCTCAGAAGGCTGTTCACGTATATCCCTTCTGTGCCCCAGGCAATGCGAGACCTGGGTGCACGGGATCTGGTCTGCAGGTCTGACCGCTGAGCCCCACAGTTCAATCCTTAATCCCACCAGTGAGAGGAGTGCCAGTCCCAATTTACCCTCGGGGAGCCCAAGCTGGGTCTGTGTCTCTCAGCCTCAGGGTCTGCCCTATTCTCCTGAGATCACCGGGCCAGCAGCACCTGGGAGGGCTGGTGGGTAGGGAGCTCACCGTCTGAGTTCCCCTCAGTCAGCTGTGGGGCCCCAAAAGGGAATGTCCCATCCCGTTCCCTGGAGGTGCCTCTGGCTGGTGGCTACGTTGTCTCTCTTGGCAGCCGCGGATAGGGACGGGGGAGGGTAGAGTGTAGCAATATGGTGCCTGCTGCTCTGCTCGGGTCTGTGCAGAGGGAGGTGCCCTGCAGGAGTTGGGAGCCTGGTGCCGCATCCGCTACAGGCTCACCGCTCGCTGGCGGTGGCCGTCTCTGGGCTGGTGTCCGCAGGTCTCTCCAACCACTGGGGAGCCCACCAGCAGTCCGAGATGCAGGGGAGGAGAAAGTTAACTGCTCCACCTACCCCTGCTGCTGGTCTCCAGGCTGCTTGGAGTTCTCTGCTTCCAGTTCTCCTCTGCAACCTCCTCCCGTGGAGTCTCCCGTGGTCTCAGGTACCCTCCTTCCGACCCTCGTCCGATGTATGCTCGTCTGCTTGCTTCTTTCTTCTGATTTCTCCTGGAATCTGTCTTTTCTGCAGAGACACTTTGTCTGGCTGTGTTTCTCATCCGCCATCTTGATTCTCCTCCTCTTATTTCACTTTTTATTTTATTTTATTTTATTTTATTTTTTTTTTTTTTTATCAGAGTGTTAAGCTTTGGATTATTTCACTTTTTAACTCCAAATTTGCCTGAAGAAACTTCGGGAAAGTGGGATTCCCAACATCACAGGTCGAGTAGCAAGAAGAGAGGTTCGTTTGAGCTCACCTGTGCGCTGCTCTCATGGCCTTTTCGTTCCCTGAGGCGGGTCCCTTCTCAGAGGGTGTCACAGCGGTTGGTCCAGGCCCGCCCGTCCCGACAGACGCTTCCCTTGGGACTCCGCGGCCAGCCCACTCTTCCTTCCCACCCAGCTCTTGCCCTCTTTGCCCAGCAACAGAGGCCTTAACTCAGAGAATGTCTCTGATTGGCTGAAGATAGGAGGGTCTCCCGCTCCTGGAATCGGTTTTCTTCTTCTTCGCCTTGGCCTTGTTCCTTTATTCCCCACAGGGACCAAGACTTACTCGGTTAAAGCAGCAGAGGGCAATGGCCCTCCCAGCCAGGCTGGTGCTGGGACTCCACACTCTGGCGACCCTCCAGAGCCCCCAGGAAGCAGGGGCCATCAAGGGTGAGTGCTGAGGGTGACTGGGGCAGCAGAGATTTAGGGAGCTGGGTCACACGAGGGAGACGGCGTAGAGGGTGGCTGGCCCTCTTCCTCTCTGGGTCGTGGGCAACTTCCTTCCCCCAGAGGTCCCCAAACGCCCTCATCTCTACCACGGCTGTCCTGGACCTAAATATAAGTGCAGCCAGTCCAGCCGCGCCAGGGCCTCATTCAGCCTTCGCTCACGTTCAGATTCCCCCCATTCCTCCCTTTCTGGGACGCGAACCTCCACCCACTGGTGCCCAGCACCCTGATCTCTTCACCACCTCCTGGCATGGAGTGTGCCCGTTCAAGTCCACCTCTGGTGCAGTATTTATGGCCATGTCGGTGGGCCGTGGTTAACTGTTTTCCAGTCTTTGTTCTGCTCTGGACACGAGCTCCTGGTGTGTGTGTCCACAGCTGGTTCATTGTTTTATTTCACTGGCCTGGCACTGTGCTGGTCCCTCACGGTAGTCCCTCAGTGACTGCTGCACAAATAACTTCATAGAAAATTCTACACGAATCTTACCGATTGAAACCCAACCCCCAATTTCCAAAAACCTGGGCTTCAGTTATGGAAGAGATACGTTCAGTCATAATGCTCTGAGATGGAAGAGTTGGGACATGAACCTGACCTTCTGACTTCTTGTCCTCCTTGCAATGCCTCGGGCTGCCTTTTTCTATCCCCATGGTCTCTGGGTCACAAATCTTAATTCTTACTGCTGCCAGTCATGGCCTGTTCCCCCTCACACACCTGTGCGGCATCTCTGTGCAAAACTCCACTGTGCTCCTGTCCTCAGTCATATCCTCCTCGTCCCACCCAACAGGGCCACCAGCTCACACACGGGGCCCGATATCACAGCCAGAGCAGGTGATCACAGCCAAGATTTAACTTGTGGAGTCCCAAGCTTGTTGTTTTTTTTTTTTTTCCAAGCTTGGTTTTAGACAGCTTCTTCCCTTCCCAGTCTGAGATGCCAGCCTGCACCCGTGTGTCCGTGCTGCCACCGTGTGTTGGGATGTGCCTTTTTCCCTCCATCCTCTCCCTTCTGCTCTGCAAGGGCCAGCTCAGTGTCAAAATAGAACGCTGTCCCACACAGAACCAGGGGTGCAGCCCAGGCTCAGAGACTCAACACATCCCATATCATGGATGAGACTGATACATTTATTTCTCCCTCCCTGACTCCAAACTCACCCAATACGGCTGACCACACGGGCTCCTATGGACCAGCCTTCTACCAGTCTCACAGCGCCTCGGGCCAGTTCACCTATGAATTTGATGGGGAACAGCTGTTCTCCGTGGACCTGAAGAAAAGCGAGGCCGTGTGGCGTCTGCCTGAGTTCGGCAATTTTGCCCACTTTGACCCACAGGGTGGGCCGGCCAGCCTCGCCATGATCAGAGCCCACCTGGACGTCCTGGTGGAACGCTCCAACCGCGCCAGAGCCCCCAGTGGTACCTGGCCCTCCCTCAGCCCGCCCGGTCAGGCAGGGGGATCCAGAGAAGCTTCTTCCCGCCTCCCAGGCCTGTGGTGCACTGTGGCGCATGCTCTCTCAGATCCCACGCCTGCTGTGCCCAGCCCCTTTCTCTCCCAGGAGGCTCTGGTCTTCCCAGGCCCCTTCAGCACCATCTTCCTTCTTGAGGAATGACCCCTCTCACCTGCACTCCCACCCCGGCCAGTCAGATGTAGGAGCTCCTGGTGCCCAACTGTGTTTCCCTTCCCTCCCGCCCCAGCGGTTACCCTCCCAGCGCATTCCCTGCCTGCAGATGGCTGGATAGGAGGAATCGTCCCTTCCTCCCAGGCCTAGCAAGGCCAGCCCTAAGGGACTCAGGGCTTTGTTCCTCCTAGTGCCTCCAAGGGTGACCGTGCTCCCCAAGTCTCGAGTGGAGCTGGGTCACCCCAACGTCCTCATCTGCATCGTGGACAACATCTTCCCACCTGTGATCAATATCACCTGGCTGCGCAATGGTCAAACAGTCACCCAGGAAGTGGCCCAGTCCAGCTTCTACTCCCAGCCTGACCATTCGTTCCGCGAGTTCCACTACCTGGCCTGCGTGCCCTCACCTGAGGACGCCTACGACCGCCGGGTGGAGCACTGGGGCCTGGATGAGCCGCTCCTCAGGCTCTGGGGTACGGAGCCCGTCCCCAGCCCCTCCCAGACCTGTGTCCCCTTACTCTAGAACCTCTTCTTGTGCCCTGGTGCCCCCCCTTTCTCTGTCAGAGCCCCAGGTGCCTACTCCACCGCCAGGTGCCACGGAGACCCTGCTCTGTGCCGGGGGCTGGCCGTGGGCCTGGCGGGCTTCCTTGTGGGCACCGCCCTCGTCATCACAGGCACACGCCTGTCCAGCGCTCCCGGGTACAGAAGCCCCAGCAGTCTGGGAGGTGGCGGTGGACAGTGGACGACTCTGAGCAGGGCAGGGGTGGAGGAGCAGAGATTCTGTGGGGAGCAGAGGGGTCAGCGAAGGGGATACAGACAGCAGTGGGCAGGGAGGAGAAAAGCAGAGGTGGGGTGAGGCAGTGAGGTTTGGGGGAGGTGGGCGCTCAGGGCTAGGATCCTGGAATCGTGAGCTTGAACAACCTTGGTCGTATGGTTTTTGCATCTTTAGGCAATGACCTCTCTGAGAGAATCAGGTTGTGGGAGACACAACCCGGCCGGTTTCTGACGGCCCCTGTGTGCTCAGAGCCACGGTCTATTAGCGCATTCCCGCCGTGCTGACTTCAAACAGGATCCACCTCTGTCCTAGGCCCCCTGCTGTCTGGCAGTACTCATGGCAGGACTTCTGGGGTAGCACCCAGCTCCCTTTCTCCTTCAACACACGCACACTCACTCACACACTCCAGCTCTACCCAAAGCTCTGGCTAGCAGCACTGAATTCTTTAATGGTGTTTGCACCTTATCTTTTTACCAGGTGTTGGCCACTTCTCCTGGGGTGTGAGGCATGTGGGGAGCTGGCAGAGGGGACCCTGAGTGGTGACCACTAAGCCTGGCCTCATGGTGCTGGGGCTGGAGCCATCCTCAGGCGTCCACTTGGCCTTGCTCCACTTGGCCTGTTGCGTGTTACCATTTCACATGGACTTCACAAAATGTGCCCCTGGATTCAGACTAGCCCTGAAAGGGCCGCAGAGTATCCTGTTCCTTGTGCCTCCCTCAACCAAGGACAGCTCTGAAGGGCGCTGGGAGAGGGGAGGCTCGTGGGGTTCCACTCCCATCTGGGTTTGTGTGGTGTGAAGAGGCCATTGGTGTCCAGCCATGATGCCATCCCCTTTTTATACATGCCCTAGAGTCCCATGCATGACAGAGAGGTCCAAGGCTGAGATAAGATGGCTACTTCCCGCAGTGGTCGATCACAGTAGGCAGGAGGCTGGCAGCATCGATGGGCAGGGCATCTGGGAAGAGGGGCGGTCTAAGAGAGATCCACCACAGCACTCTCTAAATATGTGGCCTGGAGGATTTTAGTTTACTGAGAACAAAATTAAAAACAAGCAAAGAGACAAGGAACCATACAAGGTGGTTTTGTCAAGTACCGAATGAGTGGTACAGACAAGTGGTTTTCTTCCATCCGGAAGGTACAAAAGACTCACCTGAGAGCCTTTTGAAAGTGCAGGCCTCACCCAGACCTACTGGAGTAGAATCTCAGGGATGGGAGGGGCAGTAACAGGCAGCCTGTAGTTTTTAACATGCTCCAGATGATTCTGCTGCGGCCATGCTGGACCTCGGCTGTGGTCTGGGAACTGGGGCCCACTGGCCTAGTCTGGTGTTGTTGGAGATTGTTGGAAGGAGGGATCCCTGAGGTCGGAAGTGGACCAGGAAGGCTTTCTGGAGAACCTGGGTCCGTTAGGGCATCGAAGGTGATCAAGATACAAGTAAGTGGGGGCAAGATGGGAGTTTGAATCATAATCATTTGGTCCTGGAAAAGAAAGAAACCAAGAAATGATGGGGACTCGGCGGACTTCCCAAGAGAGAGTACGTCGAGAGAAATCAATGACCAGAAGACTCTGATGGAAGTAGGGGAGGATCGTCTTAGGCAAGGATTTTGTTTGCTCGTGACCAAAACCCTCCTAAAATGAGCACGTGCAAAGTAGAGGGTATTTGCAGTAGAGACGCAGGCTGGAGCGCAAAATCCAAGGACGTGTGCCAGCCAGGCTCACAGGGAGGAGAGCATGGAGCTGGAGAGCCCAGGGACCTGGAGCTGCCCCCTGGTGCTGTCTCGGGGCCACGTGGTCTGTGTTCTCTAGACCGCTCTGCATGTTACCCACATTCTTCTCCCTCTGTGGACCGACTGTCCTTTTCAGCGAACACATTCACCCTACAGCTCCCGACAATGTGTCTCTCAGCTCTCACCACCTGCAGACCGTGTCTCCCAGTCACAATTTTAAATTCTTAGCAAAATAAGTGACAAGTGACGGGCCAAACTTAGGGCAGGTGTCCATCCCAGCCCTGTGTACTTAGAGCAGGGGGACAAGGAAATAACAATTTCCCTCATCAGATAAACTTGGCTGCCAAGCACCCAACTCTAGGGAGAGGGGTTGGGTTGTTTTCAGAGAAAGAAGTATGGTTTTGTTCTCAGAAGACACTCCAAGATATGTCTGTCCCCAGCACGCCTGACATCTGCTGATCTTTTGCTTAAAAGTTTACTTGCTGCATCATTGGAAAGGTGTTCCTCTGATCTCTGTCCTAAGGCTTAATAAAGTCATTAAAAGTGTTTCTTCTTTTGACCAAAAGAAGTGTGCTTTTTTCCCACTATGCATATATTACCCAGCAGTCACTAGAACTTCTAGGAACCATTCCAAATCTTTTATATTTATGTATCTTCCTGTAGACTCACATTTTTTTCTTCTAGTCTCAAGGTAGTGTTTCATTTTTTTAAATTGTCTTCCTGTATTCATGATCAGGCGGGGCACAGTGGCTCATGCCTGTAATCCCAGCACTTTGGGACGTTGAGTAACAGGAGAATCACTTGTGGCGGGCCTGGGCAACATGGTGATCCTGTCACTATAAAAAATAGAAAAAATTAGCCGTGCACAGTGGCACTTGCCTGTAGCCCCAACTACTTGGGAGCCTGAGGCAGGAGGATCGCATGAGCCCAGGAGTTTGAGGCTGCAACGAGCTGTGTTTGTGCCACTGCATGCCAGCCTGGGTGACAGAGAGAGACTCTGTCTCAGGAAAAGAAGAAGAATAGCCCATCAATAGCCACCTCCTCTTCTATATATTCAAATTCCCCCTCTTTGTAGGCCCCTCCCTACAGATAATAAAGATGTCCCCTCTCCCATATAATGAGAACACCGAATCTCCCCTGCGTCCTACAACCCCGCCCTTCCCCGCACCCCGTGCTCCTCCCAGTGGTGCCCCTCTTCCCATCCACTCTCCTTTCAATTTTAATTTTTAATAAAATTACATTATGTGCACAGTTTAAAGAGTCAAATAGTTCTACAAGATTTGCTAGAAAAACCCCAACGTCCAGCCCCCTTCCCTACCATGCCCTCGCCCTCACAGGCACTAACTTTCAACTGTTTTAAGGGATGCCGTTGGTATTGACCTCTCATCTCTAAATAACATGTTTGTGTTGCTACATCTGGATTTTTCAGCTTCAGGCTCTATCTCTTTACTTTGCACTGTGGAAGAGGAGGACTTCGATTTTTTTCATCCTCAAAGAAGATACATACGCCCTTCCCAGCCCCATTCCTCTCACATGGCTGCACTGTAACCTCGGCTCGGTCAACATGCAGGGTTTATACTGTGAAGACCAGGTAAAGGCAAACCATAGGGTGAACCAAGCTCGCTCTTCCTTCCCTGGACGCCTTGCAGTGTTCCCTTTGCTTGGTTTGGTTTGTACCTGCCTCTAACGCATCACACATTTCCTCACAGCGCAACCAGCCACATCAGGTATTCTGTCAATTTCATCATCAGATAAAACATCCCAGTGGAGCCTTCTGTCGGCTCCACTCTTAACTAGCTGCCCTCGATGGCACGGCCGTCATCCTGGGATGGCTCTTCCACCCTTGTCAGGATTTACCTGTCCTCTGTGTTGGATCTTCTGGGTCTTGTACCCATTAATTACCCTTTGTGGCCTGCCTTATTTTGGCGAGGCAATCCTCCTTGAGCTACCTGAGAAAGCGCACGCGAGGCAGGCTTTCTTTGCTCTGCATGGCATAAAACGCACTTCATGTATGTATTCTCATCGAGCGCACTTCGATGACAGATTGTATGAGTATCAAATTCAAGGTTGGAAACCATTTCCATCAGAACTTTTAAGGCATATCTGCATAGTTCCTTAGTTCCTAGTGTTATTGTTGACAAGCCAAAAGATATTCAGTCATAAAACTTTGTACGTGATCTGTTTTTTTTTTCCCTCTCTGGATGCTTCTAGAATATTTTCTTTGTCAGTTTATTCTGCTTTAAATTCTTATAGGTGCTCCATCACCTACAGGGTAAAGATCCTTTTCAAACTGTCCTCAACGTACCATTTTAACGTTATTTCTATTACTAATAGCTCCTCCTGAAAAATAGTCAATACCAAGTCACAAAAACTCTCAGTCTACCCCTCCCCCTGCCTTTGCGCAAGCTGTTCTCTGTTCTCTGTGCTGGGCCTGACTTCCTCTGCCAACCTATCAAAACTCTGCCAGTTCTCCTGGGGTCCAGATTAAATGTCACTTCTTCTATGAAGCCTTCCCGATCCCACACCCAGTGTGCTGCCATTCTCCCACTGCAGTACACGCCGTGTTCTGCCCCGTGTCAGCGTTGCAGCGCGCACGTCTGCCTCCCACTGACTGCTCCTCTTGGGCAAGGGAAATCTGTGACTTATATTTCCAATACTGTCACATTGCCTGGAGCATAATGGGCATTAAAATCCTTGTAGCATTGTATTCAGTTCAACTGTTTGTTTCAAACCCAGTCTTCCCTCATTGCTGTGCAGCTGGTGCTAACATTGGCTACCGCTTACCGAACACAAGCCACACGCCAGGCCTTGGGGTGAATGTTTTTCATGTATAGTGGATTTGAATCTTGGTCTACAAAATCAAGAAATAGTGCATAGAGTGCAAAAAAAATACTAAATTTCTTTAAATAATCTTAACTCCAACTCAAAACCTACTCTTCACCCATGAGGCTGGTTTTCAACTCAATCTCAGTGATTACTGGGGCTTCCCTCTCTCACAGTCGCTCCAAGGTTTCGTGCCCGAGGCAGTGCCGAGGCCCTGGAGAAGCCCTTTCGGTCTTCCTGCACCACCCAGCCTGCTTACTTCCAGCATGCTCGGGTCCTAAGTTGCATGGTCCTTTCCGAGTGGCAGCTCTTCTGCTTCTGTTCCAGGCTTGGGGCAGGGACTCTTTGGTGAGAAGGGATCCCTAGTCCCTGGGAGCAGAACTGCAGAGAGGCGCCACACTCACCTTCTCCCTTCCCTCAAAGCCCCCTCCCACGCCCCTCCGCCACCTGCCTTGGCTGCTGTGAGGGAACAGGGCTCTCCTAGGCCCCACAGACCGCTGTGGCCTCTCCGGTTTGCAGGGACCTCCCCGCTCTGCCTTGCCTTCCTGCCTCTTCAAGGCATTTCTCTCGCTCTCTCCCTGGCACAATGTCTGGGACACCTGGCATAATGTCAAGTGAACTTAAGGCTTTGGGAAACCCAAAGCCAGATGAGGAAGGGCCTTGGAGGTAACATCTGCTATTTTCTCGTGTTACAAACCTATATACAAGGAAAGAAAAAAGAAAAGCATTACTCTGCCACACATGCAGTATTTCATTTCTTCCTTAGAACCAATTTTCAAGTTAAATATGATGATTCCATTTTACAGAGGAGGAAACTAGCATTCAAGTTACTTAACCTGCCCGAGGTCAAACAGCTAGCAGGTGGCTGGGAAGGCCTGTAGAATGCGAGAGCCCCGTCCCTTCCAGCGCGAATGGAGACCAGCCTGCGAGGCTCGGCAGGAGGCACAGGGTCCGACCTCACCAGTGCCAGAACGTTCCACCGCTTTGGGGAACTCACTTCTGTTGAGGCTTCAGCAAGAACAGAGCAGAAAATGGAGCGAGGCTGAGAGTGGCCCGGTTTGGCAATTACTGAAGAGGTTTTACCCCTGCCACCTTGTCATTCGTGTCACCCCCTGTTCAGACTTACTTTCTTGCTTGAGGCACAGTGTGAATTCCTCACTGGCTGCCGGGGCTCCTTGTCTCCAACCTCACCTCCCCCTCTTCCTTCTCACGTTAAGCCGTCTTCCCCTGGGACCCTCCCGCCCAGGATCTTAGCACTGATGCCCCCGTCCATCGCCCACTCACAGCCCACGTGGCCCCAACTCAGAGAGGCTTCTCTGTCCAGCTCGGCCAGGTAAACCACCCGCCCCAGTCGCTCTCACGTCACCCTGTTTATCTGTGTGGGCAGATAAAAGGAGCCTCTCCTTGGTGGGGTCCCTTCTCCCAGGCGTCCCTTTCTCCTCTGCTCCTGGAAAGCCGCCCAGCAAGTCAGAACTCCCGCACTCAAGGAGCAGACTCCCTTCCGTCCCGCTCCCCCCCAGGTAGGCCTGTGGTCTGGCTCCATCTTGAGGTCGGCCCGCCTCACGTGGAGGCTCCAGACAGGTAAGCCTGGCGTCTCCCGAGGGGACTCCCTGGCATCTCTGCCCCCTGGAAAGTTTCTGCTGCCTCCTCCCTAGAGTCCCAGCACCACTCTTGAGAGAGACCTGGTTAGATTCCCAGTTGCCCGTTATTCCTGCCCTCAGGCCCTCAGCGTATGCACCTGCTGCGGGTACGGGTCCTTACTGTCATGCCCGGAACACGGCAGTCACCCAATAAATGTTTTCTTTTTCTAATTTTTATTTATATTTATTTATTTTTATTTCAGCATATTCAGGGAGTACAAATGTTTAGGTTATGTATATTACCTTTGCCCTGCCCAAGTCAGTGCTTCAAACGTGTCCATGCCCCAGACAGCGCGCACCGCACCCGTGAGACGTGAGTATGCCCATCCCCTCCTCCCCGATAACACCTGCCCGGCCCCCGGTGAATGTTACTACCATCTATGCACTTAAGTGTTGCTCAGTTAACACCACTTTGATGGTGAGTGCATGCAGTGCTCGTTTTTCCATTCTTGGGATACTTAGTAGAATGGGTTCCAGCTCTATCCAGGAGAATACAAGGTGCTAGATCACCATTGTTTTTTATGGCTGAGTAGAACTCCATGGTACACATATACCTCATTTTATTAATCCACTCACGTATTGATGGGCACTTGGGTTGTTTCCACACCTTTGCAATTGTGAATTGTGCTGCTATAAATATTTGCATGCAGGTGTCTTTTTTTTCCTTTGAGTAGATGCCCAGTAATGGGATTGCTGGATCAAATGGTAGATCCACTTGTATCGCCTTAAGGTATCTCTATATTGCTTTCCACAGAGGTTGAACTAGTTTGCAGTCCCACCAGCAGTTCCTATCTCTGCATCCATGCCAACATTTGTTATTTGAGGTCTTTTTGATAAAAGCCATTCTCACTGGAGTTAAGTGATATCTCATTGTGATTTTGATTTGTATTTCCCTGATGATTAGAGATGTTGAGCATTTTTTCATGTTTGTCGGCCATTAGTCTGTCTGCTTTTGAAAAGTTTCTGTTCATGTCCTTTGCCCATTTTTTAATGGGGTTGATTTTTTTCTTGCTGATTCTCCTGAGTTCTATATAGATTCTAGTTATCAGCCCTTTGTCAGATGTGTAGCATGCGAATGTTTTCTCCCATTCTGTAGGTTGTCTGTTTGCTCTCGTGATAGTTTCATTGACTGTACAGA